TGTCATAGAAATGGTGGGGCTGGGATGAGATATTGGATTGTCTTGATCAGTGCTACTTCACACGATGTTGCCCCTAGAAAACACTGCACATACACCGTAGAGTGCTCTGTTTTTCAAGGTCGAGCTTCCATTTCAATTCCTCTTATTCTTGCTCTGTATTCAAAAAAGTCTCTGTATTCAAGGCAACCCCTGAATGTCTCCGAGTCAGAAAGCAAGCAAACAACAGCAAAATCAACTGAGCCTTCGTTCCCACCTCCACTGGTACAGAGGAAATAACCTGAGCTTCCAGAACTGAATTCACGCAAAGTCTTAGTCTGTCGTGTCAGATGGAGATTATAAAGAAGCGGCTCACAATTAACTAATATCATGATATTTCACGGGCTCCATGATCAGGAAACGCAAACACATGACCTCAAACTCTTGCTTTGCAAGCAGTAGCGTCAGGCATGTTTTATCTTAAGGCTGGTGCCATACAGGCAGAATAAAACAGCAAAAGACCCATCCACATCACTGGGTTTGCTTTGCAGACTTGAATTGAATACAGGTGGGTGAGCCCGGGCTGGGGGAGAGGCTGCAGAAAGCAAGGCGCCCAGTGAAGGCACGCGTCTCAGAGGAAGGCTGCTCTGGGCTGGGAGGGGCTGCTCTTTTCCTGCACGGTGTCAGGGAGGAGGTCCAACCTCCGGGAGCACAGCCTGGGAATCCTGCCCTCAGCCAAGGCTTAAAAAGCCCTCACTTTGAGATAAATGCTCTTCAGAAAGGAGGTGTGCAGGGAGGTGGGATGGGGGGGCTAGGCCTGCTGCTATCAGCTTCAGACCCATCAACCACTCAAGTTCTAGTGGGTCCAGATAAGATCGGGTGAGAGGAAGGCATGCCACTGCTGGGGTATCACGGGCCATTACAACACTAAAGGGGATGGCGCCATAACCACAGAATCTTCTAATGATCTGTGTTAACTGAGCTCTGCTAGCTCACTTTGGTAGGCTGATTCTTCTTCCCTGTAGCTAAACCCCTTTAAGTAACAGGAATGGCCGACAGGTTAACTGACCGATTAAGGCAGAAGAACTGACTGTCCGACTGTGTTTAATACAATGAAGTACAACCACACGAACACATTGCAGTTCACAGTCGCGCGCAGTTCCCTCATGGTTTCAATAACCAGAGTGTTTCGTAGTGCAGCCTGTAATCTAAAACAAATTGGCATGAAGTGAATTCTAATGAACAAGACAGCATTAGGGCTGTCCACCTCACCTGTGCTGCAGGGTAAAGCAAGCCTGGAAACGGGCAAAGAGTGTTAAAGGGTTGTATTCTTTGTTAAGCTATTATCCCACCAGAAAAAAAACTGAACACAATGAAAAAAGAAGATGATTAAGAAATGATCCAATGATTTATGACCGAAGAGAGTGCTGAACAGTGCGTTAGACAAAGATCTAGCTGTTTCTGAAACCCCACCCCTACCCTTGCTAGGTTTGAGTTTCAGTTCAGGATTCTGCTAAATCTCTCCACCTAAGTGGCTGGGCTAATTGGAAAAGTGATATTCGTGGTCAAGGGATGCAGTGCCAGGCTTGTTATTGTTACCAAACCCTTACTGGAGGCAGGGGGACAGTGTCCCTCATTGATCTGCTGCTCTGGATCTTGTCATTCTGCCCTGTATAACTCCAAAACACAAATCTGCCTACAGGAGGAAACAGGGCAAACACACCGCGCAGCTCATCAGAGCTCACATACGCATTTCCAGATGTTCAAACACTAACAACGCACTGCTTCACAGCACCAATTTGAAACTGTAGAATGAGAAAATTGCAATAAACCTGCTTTTCCCCTCATTAATGGAGCTATTAGAGCATCTGGACCCTGGGAAATACAGAACTGGCAGTAGTTTCTCTCTCTTCAGGTTACATTACACTGCAGAGAACTAGGTTTCATCTATAAATAAGCTTTTTACTAGCATTCCCGTCTCTTGTTTAACTTCTAAGCTGCTTGAGCGTGCCAGGGATGAAACACTTCCAAAGCATTTGCACAACACGCCAATAAATTCTTCCTAGTGCAGGAGCCCAGTGCACTTTTCAGCCACTTGTTATGAATGTTTTGCAAAACGCAAACAAAAAGGCGGAACTGTTGACTTTAGCCACTTGAACTTCAAAATTACAGAAATCTAAAGCCTTTTTAATCAGCGATCAGATTCTTTTTTATCACAGGATCAATACCTGTACTGAAGGTGTCGTCCTAACACCTGCTAGGTCTGTATGCTAGTCACCCATCTCTCTCTCATACCTCCTGCTCTCCTTATTGCTCGGTGTGCAGTGTCAAGGGACAAGAGCTCTCCTCTGTGTCTCCGTGTTATTAATCACAGCCACGCCAGGCTCCCTGCAGGGAGAACCAGCATGGGATTCTGCTCAGTCCCGGCTTCCTGCACATTGAAACTTAATCTCCTAACCAGCAGAACGCATGTGTTTTCTAAAAAGCACTGTCAATATTTGAACTCAAAGGGGTCTCACTCAAGGGAGAAAAAGGACAACTTTGTAGGTGTCCCACTTTTACATCTTCCAAACTACCACGTTTTCCAAAGCTACAGTGAATACATTTCTGTCTCAGATGTGCCAACCACCAACACAAGAGTTTTATGAAACAAGTCATCACCACTCCATAATTTATTATACTGCATTCAATGTTATTTTTCAATTACGCAGCATGCTCTTTCACATTAAGCAGGCTCCGTTTTTCAAACACTGAAAAGTGATGAGAGATGAATCCACACCTCTTTCTTTGATCCCCACAGTAAACGTCGTTCAACTTTTATCCCCGTCTTTTTCAAATAAACCCATCCGTTTCAACCAAGTACATCTCAGGGCCCTGTCTTCTTACTGGCCTGGAGCAAATCAGCCACACAGTATACATACTTCCTAGTACCCTGTAAAGGACAACAGAGGCAGATGTAATGCATGAAGATCTACACACAGGCAGGCCGAAGCTGCTGTAGAGATACCGCGCTCTGGAAGCCCTGTGAAATAAACAGGCTTCTCATAAAAAAAAATTGCAGGGTATTTTGGTTCAGCTAAGTAGCCTTCCTGAGTAAGGCCCAGAGACAGAAGAGTGTGGTGAGTGGCCGGTAAGATTTATAGGCATTAGCGATTTTCCTGCAGCGTGCTCTGACTTTGATATGACACATATTGAATAGATCGCCCCAGCTTCAGGCGCCAGGCATGATGCATCTTCACGCAGACAGCTCGGCGACATCAGCCCTAATGGTTCTTATCTTAATCTGGTTTAAAAGCATCTTGCATTTCTGAATGATCTCTTCACTTTCCGAAATTCACTTTTTCGAAGTTTTTTTTTCAGGTTTTTTTTTTTATCTCTCCTCTAAACCGACGCGCCATCAGGAGTCTACGTTGCGCAATAAAAGAGTCTACGCACGGGAAAAAAAAACAACAAATACAGGATTAATCCAGCCCTCCACTTTGACCTTTCTCACAGTTTGATGATAAGCGTCTCACAGAAACAAATGAGCTGACTGCACAGTCATAATTCCGCAATGAGGGTGTTCCTTTAAAAAAATCAATTGGCCATCTCCTCAGCTCTATCTCCTACACAGACGGGACACTCTGGCTCCAGCACAGCGAGCACTGTGGCCCAGCTCCAGGACCCCAAAACGTTTCAAATTAAACGACCCATCCACTCATGTTTTAAAAGCTGACTGCAAATTAAATATTAATAAACAGCCATGGAATCCTTACGAGTGCATCAATAATGGAAATATTAAAAACTATAGGATATTTATATCAGGGAAAAACACGCCTTTTCCCCCTTAACCAAGAAAGATACCAAAATCATAAAGAATTTATATCTGAAGAACTCTCATCTTTCTTCTTTTTCCACCAGCACTCTGCAAGAACAGTGCAGTCTGCTTCTTTCAGAGCCAAAGGACAACAGGCTTTTGAACCGGCCTTCACGTGATTCAAACAGAACTGGAAAGTTAATGTACAAGACAAGTTTGGGTCCTCTTTTATCTGCACCTACTAAAATTCCACCCTCCCCACCGAGGAATGATTTTAACGAAGAACTTTCAAATCCCCGCAGTTAGCGCTCTGTGAATGAGTCACCTACTCCCAGAAACCCATTAGGACATCTGCTGCTTATTAACCCCTTGGCACACGAAACTGGGGGCGACTCTGCAAACCCTCAGGACAATCCTAATGATCCGGCCGCCCCCTGTTTTGCTTTCCAGCATCGTCCCAAAGCCTAAGCAAGGGAAAACCTAACTGGGCCTTGACTGACACAATGCTCTCTTGCCGATCACGGAGTATGAGGTCGTTTTCTTAATCGCCTGCAGACGACGGGCTGACGAACGAGCTGGGGGAGCCGAGAGAGAGCTGGGCTTCGGAAGCGAAGCCTCTGCCTGCCTCATCACAGCGGCTCTCTCTGCCTCCGCTCCCCTCCCCGGCCACGCAGAGACATCTGAGAAAGTTACCAGAGCCCCCGGAGGATTCATTCTGACAGACGGCTTGAATGGAAATAAATTATTCATGCCAAATGCATAACAAACAAAGGAGGACAAAGTATTTATCAATAGGATCCTATAAGCAAACTTGCAAGTGAAAGGGGATACAGGAAAATGCAAGGTTGAATTCTGAGGTTTGAGAGGCATTTATAATACATTACTACTGGATTACAGCTTGAGGGCTGCCAATACATCTAATGGACATGCAGTTGGCACTGACGTGTGAGGGTTTGATATTTTTCTCTTCTCGTCACTCCTTTAAGTCAGGAATGTGAGTAGCTTTTTTTATGTCTTTTAGGCAGAACGGAACGCAGAACTTGTATGGGTGAAGTTTCACACCACACATGAAATAAAGGGGTCGTGCCCGCCCAGCCCCTACAACGTGTGGTCTCCGACACCACCTAGTGGGCAAGAAGTGGAACTGCAGAGTGGCCGCTCCACTAAATGACTGTCTAAATGTACGGTGGTTAATTATTACACCTTGGGAAGAAGGAGCTGGACTCACCTTATATGATGGCAGGAAGCACAGCACTCCGTGTGCCACAGCCTGGCACACACTGAGCATCAGGGCACCCACCTCATCCTGGAAGGCATAGGTCTCTGTGTGCTGGAAGGTGGCACACAGCTTCCGGCCTTGAGGCCCCGCGCCAACTGTGCCCACCCACACCTGCGACGGCAAGGTGAAGCCATTAGGAGCCCCACTGGGGGAGGGGGACAGACAAAGCTGCATGTGTAACAAAATGCATCCAAAAGCGTTCTGCTCAGAAGTGTGCTGCTCGTCCGTGGTTCTTAAGCATGCAACTAAACTGATGGCGTGCATGGTGCAAGAATTTGCACTACTCCTTTTATCCACAAGCTGCAAGGAAAAGTACATTTGTGTGGTGCTAAGCTCTCGGTTTAAAGCAAACTACGGGGTTAGCACTTTGCCTCTTGTACGATGATGAAATCCAAACTACAAATGGCTAGAAACTCTCACTTGGCCTAGTGGGCCCGATCTGTCTCATCTCCGGAATGAGAGCTGTCAGTACTTAACTGCTGCACTAGGGAGAGATGAGCAAGGTCCTAGTTCTACCTCTGTCTTCCTCAGAGGCATCAATGTGAGCTCAATGTGCAGCACAAGCCTGTGGCAGTTCAGCTGAGAGCTGCACCACAATTCCGATTCTTCAGCTTAGTGCAGAGCGTATAAGGAAATCAATCTGGATATCCCGATAGAGATGAACGAGCGGTGCCCACAGTGTTCTGCACTCCCCCCCGGATAACTCCCGGATTACCTGGGACTTTTTAATGACGTGACTGGCCTCCAGCTGGATGGAGAACTTGACGCCCAGCTCCGAGGAGAACGAGCTCATGGGGGAGAGGGTCCCAGAGGTCAGCACGATGGTGCGCACGCTGCTGCTCAGGTCTGAGAAGGCCTAGGCACGCAACACAAAACCCTCTGAGAAATCAACCAACTTCTTCTTCTAAGAACAGGGCCTGTTGCCACGACCGCTTACATGAGATTTCGCTTCACAGTGAAATACAAAATTCTAACCATTCAAGTAATACATCAACATTATCATGAAGTTCACTCCTGCAAATGTGAGGCTGGATTGAGCTGCAGCATCCCACTACCACATCCCAGACACACTCTCCTCTCATTCTGGGCCAGGTCCCTTTCAGAAGGCCTGTCGCCTGCTTATTGATTAACATCATGACGGAAGAGAGGAGGCGGCGCCCAGTCCAGCAGGAACGTCAC